GGGCGGCCTGCCCCGTTGGGCCTCCACCCCGGCCGACCTGGCTTTGCAGCCTTTCCGCCATCCCTGTGGGAGATAGGCCCGCGGAGCTGGCCGTGCGGCACTGGTTACAGGAATATAAAATCTCCCCGTTATCCTCGCGGGTGTGACTCTTAAGGAGGGAAGCGGTGCTGGGGTGAAAGGATGCTTCCCGGTTTTGGATCAGCCTTTACGCTCGTTGCAGGAACTTCCCCTCGGGCATGACTGCGGTTCCAGTGCTTGTGCCTTAAATGCTATGCTCCTGCTTGCCTCCCTGTGCCTTAACTGTCCTGTTTAGAAATGCCTGCAAAAGCCGGCGAGGGGCTGGGGTGGGTTTTATACGCCTTGCTGAAAGGGGCTGTTACATTCCCGGTGTTGATCATAATGAATACAACCTTTGCGGGATTTTGTCCTTTATTTCTCATTTGCTTTGTAAACCCCATACTTTTCGCCTTTAATTTTCATATGTAAATCAGATTCTTGTTTTGTGTGTCATGGTGATCTTTTACCGAGTCAGTACAGCTTGTCACTTGTTTGTCTATGAGATCAAAGTTTTACCTTAACAGTAGCAGTTAAATTTTACTACAGAAGGACCCGGGGACATGCAGAACAAAGGAGTTCTTGACACTGCAAGTAGTCACTGCTTGAGTAATGGTTGGTTTATTATAAATAAATAAAAGCATCCCTTAGAATAGTTGTTCTCAGTGTGGGAAGGATTGATTAGAGAGCGTGGGGTTCCAGGAAAATGCTGTCTAGCTGTTGTCTTTCTCCTCTCCGATAACCTCATTGCTTTAGACAAAAGTGGGGAAAATAAGAAGGGGTAAAGGCTCTGGCTACGAGGTGCACTCCAAGCATGCAGCTTCTTGTGGGAGGGAGGGTAGGAATTGCTTCCTCCCACTCGTCCCTTTTGATATTGAGTGACAGGCTGTGCTGAATGGCAGGAAGAGGTTTAATGTGTTACATAGATCGGTACTTGGGGTGTGACTGCCTCTCTCCTGAGCACTGGGTGCATGGCTTGAGAAAGGCTTTAGTGGGCCTGGCTGTGTGGAGCAATTCCCCAGGTGAAGGTTGCCGCTGAGGGAATCTTTTCTTGAGGGGAAGGGGGAACGAGGGGCGAGCATGTGCCGTGGGGAAGGGTCTGTTGCCATTGGGGATGCAGAAAACTTGGAGTGGTGGTAGGAATTTAGAAAGGGTCAGCAGGGAGCTGTTGTTTGGAACTAGGCTGCAGGTATTTGGATGGATTAGATTCGGGCTGGTTGTCAAGGAGAGATTGTGGTGTAGGGATTTGAAGAATGCCAGAGAACATTTGGGGTTTGTTTACAAGTAGTGGAGATGGGTGAAGGAAACTACTGAAGAAAGTAAGCCTTTGAGTTACAACTGTATTCAGTTTATCTTATCTGTGTGAGAGTTTCTCCCAAAGGTATTCTGAAAAAGTGCATCGCTGTCTTGTTCATTGTGCTGGCACTGGCCTCCATGCAGCCTTGTGGTAAATGGGATCTGGGAGGTGATGCGGCTGAAAAGTCAGCTTTGTCTTTTCGTCCGGAGTAGTTTTCTTCTGGATCAGTTCACTGCTCCACCTCACCAAGCACCTATATGAATATTGGTCTTGGAACAAATGAGAGAGGGAAGATAGCCTTTTCTGCGGCAGCCTGCTTATAGTTTATTGCAAAGAGATTGTGGAAGCCGCTGTGTAAGGGCATATGAAAACACAGTGTTTAAAACACAAAAAAATAACAAGAACAGCTATCCAAAACAATGTTTATCCAAAAACATGCTAATTCCTTTTTGTGTATTGACAAAATTCTTAGAACGAGTCACTTTGATGTCTGTGTTTTTAGTTAGAGGAGAAACATGCTTTTGTTTGCCAATAGTTTTACATAAAAGAACTGCTACCAATCATATGATGGTTTTGCAGAGCTGATTTTACTGTTACTAGGATGCTGTTTTTTGAATTAATTTGCAAATATTTTATATTGTTGTCTTTATAGAAATGAATGAATTAGGAAAAGGGCCTTTGTATGTTTTACTGTTGCAGCTGACTTTTCATGTTGTAATTCTTACATGGGTCTGTTTTGTTTTTGTAATTGTGTGGATATTATGAAGATGATGTTATACAGCAAAATATAAAATAGGGGGAAGATACGCTTCCCAGCTCTTAATTTTACATTCCAGGATAGTTTGGGCAAATTTGCGATGGCATTTTAGTATTTGGAGGATTCTAGTCATTGACGATCTGAGTAGTATGGGTTGACAGTCACTAATGAAATGCATTCTATTCTTATTTGTGATGTGCTGCTGTTAAGTTTGTGGGCATTTAAAAAAGAGGGAGTGGAAGGTAAAGGGTGGATAAGAAAGCATGACAAATGTACAAGCACTGAATAGATGCACTGCTGTCTCAATAAGACTGACTTTCAGTATGTGTATTATGAGAGAATATTACAAATTTTGTGGGATTTCTTGAAGACTGTCCTATCCCCTTTTGTTTTGTCTGATTGTATAATCCTGATTTCTTTTGAAGCCTAAATCTCTGAATGAAAATGCATTTTGACTTCAGCTTGTGAATGACTTTAACAAGATTTTGACTTAAATCTTCCTGACAGCTTTAAAGTAATGCTTAAGCAAGAGAAATGTAGACTACTAAATAACTATAACTGAAGGATAGCTAAAATAATGAAGCTAAGAGGAAGCAGTATTTTGCTAGTGTAAGTGGGTATAACTGTCCTAAAATGTCTTCAAAAATTTCCACGTGGTGTAAAACTTTTAAAATGGCTTAACAGATAACGTTGCATCTGCAGCCTGTGTACCCTGAGAAAACTTTAACATCAGTGGTATAGTAAAGACTCTTAAAAATAATGTTTACCAGGAATTGGAAACAGTTTTCTTTGTCCTTCATTTTTATTTTAAACAGCGAATGCTAACAGTGACATTTACTTCCTCATTATTGTGTTGCTTGTATTGGGATGAGCCTGATTCTGTTGTGTATCTTGTTTTTGCTTGATGGTCACGCTTGCTGGCCAAGGCTGATTTAAGACACCCAAAGATCCTGCTGTTATGTTGTTAAGAAACTTTTCTTGACTCCCTCTTTGGCCGTGAATGTGATATAGTATCTGACAGGTAGTGGACTAACTGTTTTTTAAAAACCTCTAGGTTTCTGTGTTAAGGTTTGGTTGTTTGGGGATGGTTTGGGTTTTTTTGTTGGGGGGTGTGTGTGTTGTTTTTAAAATTTTTTTTTTTTTTAAAGCTGCTTGCAAGTTCTGTTAAAAACCTTAAATTTGAAGTTTGTTGCTGCTGATGGATTTGCCAAGCTGGTTTCAGGGAAGCTTTTAAGATTGCAGTGCTGCCAAAAGCAGCAGTCCTGTCTGGCTGCTACTACTGCAGCTTCCCTGTTTTGGCCCAAATGTTTGTGGGGCTGTGTCATGAACCATATAGGAAAATAATTTGTATTGAAACTGATCCTGGTGGTCCATACATTTTTCTGATCTAATTCACTGTGTGGTTGCAGAAATACTTGTGCTAGCATAAGGGAGAAGATCATCAGGAATGTGAGGAAACAAAGGAGAGGAGAGATAGGACTGTTTCTTTAAACTAGCAGTGCCAGCTTATTCTGGTTTAAAGTACTGTGGAGCTACAGCAGCTTCCTTTGTAATATCCAGATTTTCTAACACAGGAGTGAAATGGTTGAGAGCCAGGCATCTCCTTTTGCATATTTAGGGCGGAAAGCAAGGGAAAAAGAAGCTTGAGTTGCAAAAAGCATGTGCATTACAGCCCTGGTGTTTCAGGCATAGACCATGTTCCTAGCAGTCACAGTCCTCTCTTAAAAATGCTCCGTGTTAGTGATGACATCTCGTGTCACATCTTAATACGCACCTTTGGCAGACTCTGCGTCTTTTCTGAGACTAGTCCAGAGATGAGCTTCCTGCACTGAAGTGAGAGGGGCAACTAGTCTTTTGATTTAGTGATTGATGATGTTGTGTAGCAACATATGATGCTTAGCACCTCTTTTTCATTGCCCTTTACCACTCGTGCCCGTACTTGACATGGTGTAGCTACTACAGACTGACAATGAGCATGAGTCTGCAGGAGGAGGCTGTCGGTGATTTTATTTGATACTGTGAAACAATGTTTTGTAGTTGTGATGCTTTCAGAGGAATATGTACTTTTTCTGTGAAAGTGTGAAGCTTGTAGAAGCTTACTGTTTTAAAGGAGCTGTTTTCCTACATATTTCTATATCTACCACTATTATTTTCTAAATTAGCTTTAATAGAGGTTATTTTAGGTTTTTGTATATTGTGAGAATATTTACACAGACAAACCTTTATTCAAAAAAGCAGGGATGTAGTCTTTTCACTTTTGTTCCCAAGTATGAATGTTGTTTGGAAAACAGGGTTTGTGTGTCAAGCTTTTACCTATTATAATGAAATGGAAACAAAAGCTGCAAATAGTTGAGTTTTGTTTAATTCAATATTTAAGGTTTTCTATTCAAAACTCTTTTTCTTTTAAAATGTTATATCCATATCCTTCTTAAAAAAAAAAAAATAGGGAGAAGGGCAGCAAATATATTTCATCTGCCAGGGTTGGACGTGGTATTTCCAATGGCTGTTTTTTAAAAAAAAAAAAAAAAATTGTGGCTACTTCTCACCTTTGCCAGTTGTTAAGAAAAGATTCCTAGAACTGTATGGAAATGACTGCCAGAGTTTGAGCTATAGTAATTTAAGGTCCTGCCTTCTGCCTAGAGGTTTTAAAGGTGAAGTAACTATCTTGTTCTATATTCCCGGGATTCAAAGACTTGTCTAAATTAGGATTTTGGATTTCAGCTAACACCAACAGACTGTTTTTAAAAGTCAGAAGTAGAAGTGATTTAAATATTGATTTAAAATCTCGGACTAAACTTCAACCATTTAGCTGCAGTTTGTATTACTTTTTCTGTACTTGACTTCTGAATGCCTTAATTAACCTTTGCTAGCTAATACCATCTCGCCTTTTGTCTAGACAAGATCTGAAATGGTCCGATACACTACTGTGCTCCTTCAGAGACTCATGCTTGCTGATGATGAGAAGTAAAAACTTAATCTTATTAAAGCATATATTTTGTAGAAATTGGAAATATCTTGGTCACTACTAGTGAATGGTAAGTGGACTTTTGAAAGCAGTGTTTATGGACACAAGTGCTACATTTCTTCTTTTAGATGAAGAAAACATTGAAAACATCCGTGAACAAGTGTGAAAGTGTTATTTAGGAGCAGTGGATGTCTTATGGCTTTGGCTTTAATGAATAAATGGTTGAGATGCAGAATTTCTGGGAGATCCGTGCCGTCTGTATTGAATTGGGACAAAATTCCGAGTTACTTGAGTGGAATTGGAAAGTTTGCTTAATGTTGAATCAGACTATGAATGTACACATAGTTGTAAGGCTTTGAGGTAATTAAAAGCTCAGGCCAGTGAAAAGTTCGTACATTTGAGAATGGTTTCATTATTGCAGTTATGCTTTGTTTCTGTATACCTGTAAAAAAGCTTATTTTTGAAGATGATGGTTATTTAGGTAAACTCATATACGTATGCATTTTAAACAATAAGGTATAACAGAGTAATGCTTGTATAAATGTTGCAGAAGAAACCTAAATGTAAAGCTTTTACTGTTGTCTGAAGTCCTCATCCCAATTTTTTTTTTTTTTTTTTTAAAGATAGCTCCAGTTAAGTGCAACACTGTATGTTAGAGTTTGAACTGGGCTAACAATTTGCCACTGTCCTTTTTGCCCCCTTCTCCTGGCTGCATGCTGTTCTTTCCCCCATAATCCAGCTCTGGCACTTGTTTGGCCCTTCATTAAGCCAGTTTGATAACCTAGCCATATGAAAATGATTTCTAGGTATCAAGAGCCTGCTCACTGAAGGACCCAAAAGGTGTTAGGGCTGTTGTGAAGGTGAGGATAATGTGTTACACAGCCTTGTAAGCAAGGCTGAAGGAGTGATCGTGTATGGAAGGGGAGTAGGATTTGCCCCTCGACAGTGGCTAGCTCTTGAGCTGCTCCAGTCTTAACATGCTGCTTCACTGAGTCCAAGAGTAAATTTGCCATTTCTTATGTGTTGTCTTTTCATGATAAACAGATTAATGTTTGAACCAATTTAAGCAAAAGGTATTACCTGCACTTTAGTAAAAGGTCATGTCTTTTGACAGTCTCTTTTTCTGTTCTGTATAGGGATCAGTATTGCTGAAAGCACAAATAGAGGGTTTTGAAATAATTTCTTCATTGGCACCAACTAACAGTTTGAGGTAAGATTAACTTAATTCTATTTTTAAATGTTCTGATTGAACCCAACCATTTAAGAGGAGAATTGATTTTGTTTTCCTAAAATTTATGCTTGCAATAAGACACTACAATATATAGAACTTTCTGAAATTAATCTATCTCTTGTAAAAGTCAACTATCATACAGTATATACGTACTTGTCATACATAGAATGCAAATGTATAAATGTTATTGTTGAATACAGGGAAAATCAAATTTCCTTTAAGGCTGAGATTGGGTTGTATTATAAACTTATGTGCATCTGAAGTTTGGTCTGAAAACTACTTGTAATAGCAAAAAAACCTCTGGGTGTTTTTTTTTTCTATCACTGTTGGAAAATGGGTATGCTTCATCTCTTACAACAGTTTAAAACCTCTAAATTTATGTTGCCTGTGAGTAAATGAGCATAAGAGTTTATAAGCCATTTTCTGTGAGTTTAATTGAACACAATGAATTAGAAGCCATCTTCTGAGTATAGGTTATGCAAATTTGCTTTTTAATGGAAGGAGCCACTAAAAGACAGCATTCGACATATTCTTCTTCTCAAAGGTAAATAATTTTTTTCTTAGTTAAATGGAAAGCTAGTTTAGGTTAAAATTAATTTTTTGCTGGGTTAGTTTCAGATGAGGTTACATTTCTTTGGGGCCATGCAAAGTCTTGTGCTGCTGTGGTGGGGAAAGTCATATGGGGCAGGAGGGACCAGTTGATAGGGGAAAGGTTGGTCTGCTTCTTTCTTTTGGGTTCTCTTATATGTGTCAAATCTCTGAAATTCTGTTAACTTTACATTAAGCTCTAACGCTGTTTATTTGTCTTTACATAATTGAAATATCACCCAGGTAACAAGAGAGATTATATAAAGTACCTTGTGACAGAAAGTGCTTGTTGTGTTGAGCTTGTATTTTCAATACAATAATTCTAGGCTTTTGTGTGTGTTTGCAATACAAAAGCTAAATGTTTGGGTTTTCTATTTTTGTTTTAATTGTTATTAAACAATGAGGATCATGGGTATTGAGCATACAAAGACCAGAAAATGTGTAGTTACTTGTTCACAGTTTATATTCAGGTTGTCTAATGTGACCTTTTTTTTTTTTTTTTTAAGCTGGGCAATTTCAAAAGAAAATGGTAATGGGTCAAAGTTTTTTATTAATTAAATTGGGGATTTTTAGCCACTGATCTGAAAAGAAAAGGTGTGTATTTTTTTTATGGCTAGCACTAATTAATTCTCAATATTTATTATGACTGTACATAAGAAGAAATGCTGGTTTATTATGAATTTATTTTCTTTTAGGACTCATTGCTTTATAATAAATTGTAATTTTCATAGCTTAGTTTGAGCTGAAAAATGTTGAATTCTGTTACAAGCCATATTATTTAACTAGTTAAGTTGGCCATGCATTTTACATGTAGTTTAAAAAGCAAAGTTAACTTAAAAAGGTGCAGGGTGGGCATATTGACTGGTGGAAAATCGGATCAGAGTGATTAGCTTTAGTACATGTGGTTAAGAGAAATAATACCCCTGGCTCAAACCAGCAACTGCTGGACAGAGTACTTGAGGGCTTTTTCTTTGCTTATGTAAAAGGTACATTGTAGGGGACTGTAAAGTCCTTCCAGAGAAGGATTAGTGCATTGGAAATGCAAGGAAATTATAAACCACACAAAGAGCAAGAATTTTGTTTCAAATATATTAAAATGTGTAATTGTCCATTCTTAACGTTATTTCTTGCCTTAATTTGCAGAAACTTTTTTGTTGTTGTTGTTGCTTCCTCTCTCCTTCTACAGGATCAGTTTGCAATTAAACCTGGAAAACCTTTTACTGTTATACTTTATCTTTTCAGACAAACTGTGTGCACTGTAGCTATGTTAAAGTCTTTAAAATGTGGTTGAGCTTTTAATTTACTAATAAATGTACTCATATTGTCTTCAAAGTTCTTTGGTTTAGGAAATACTATACCTCTTTCTAATATTCTCATTTTAGCATATAAAAATTTTGTTCATCTATATGATTTACGTGGTCTCTAAATAGTTGCTTCCCTTTTTTTTTTTTTTTCCCCCCCCTCCCTTCACTGCTTTTCCTTTTGGGAAGGAGTATATCTACTGGGAAAAATGGGTCGATCTAACTCTAGATCACATTCTTCAAGATCAAAGTCCAGATCTCAGTCCAGCTCTAGGTCAAGATCCAGATCACATTCTAGAAAAAAGAGATACAGGTAAATTGATGTCTTACTGCATGAAAAGTTGGTTTAGTATATGAGCTTTTTGTCTGGAAATTATTTTTCACTTGCATGATGCTGTGGCAAAAGTGAGCTTGGGGTCTTACTTCATTTTAGGCTGTAGGTAAATTCTGCTTTGAATGTAATTTCTGTTACTTCAGTTGTCTAATACTTGGCTGTTTTTTCTCTTCCTGCATCTCAAGATAATTTCAGAATGCTAATGGTTCTTCATGATTTGTGGCTTGTTTGATTCTCCCCTCCCCCTTCACATAATGTTTTCTTTGTCCAGTCTCTTTCCCTGTGATTTGTTCTGTATTTCTCATGCCGCTTTTCAGATCTGGAGTAACTTAAGGCTTCAGCAGATAAGCTTTGCTGTATCTTGTCTTCTCAGTTGCCTCCAGCCTTTGCCTCATCTTTCTTACTAGTGGACATTACCATCTCCCATAAAAGAAATGGCTGAATTGAATGTTTACTGCCTCATCAGCTGCTGTCCACAGGCTGGCTTATTAAACTGGGGGTCATGTAACTTCATGTTCGAGGCTGTGAACCATGGTGGCTGAGGAAATGAGTGCCATGCTCCAGAATGGTGATAATCTCTAATGGCAGGGCAGGCCACTGAGGCTGGTAATGTCTTAATCATGTGATGCTGAAGTCTAAGTTTCACAGTCCTTAAGAGTGTAGGCATGTTTATTATAATCTTTTGAGACAGAAATAATAGATAGATTGTAGAAGTTACTTTAAGACTGTTAGTCTGCTTCCTTTACCATTCTGACTGCATTTGAGAAATCTAGCATTTAGTGGCAAGGCACTTTGTTGTTGTTGTTTTTATTCTCCATTTGTCAAATGTTGATGTTTGCTTTTTAATTTTAGTTCTAGGTCTCGGTCAAGGACATACTCACGATCTCGCAGCAGGGATCGTGTTTATTCTAGAGATTATCGCAGAGATTACAGAAATAATAGAGGAATGAGACGTCCCTATGGTTACAGAGGAAGAGGTAGAGGGTATTATCAAGGAGGAGGTGGTAGATACCATCGTGGAGGTTATAGGCCTGTCTGGAACCGAAGACACTCCCGAAGCCCTAGGCGTGGCCGGTCACGTTCCAGAAGTCCAAAACGAAGGTCTGTGTCTTCCCAGAGGTCCCGGAGCAGATCTCGTCGATCTTACAGATCTTCCAGGTCCCCGAGGTCCTCTTCATCTCGTTCTTCATCCCCATACAGCAAATCACCTGTCTCTTCCAAAAGACGTGCGTCTCTGGAAAAGCAGGCAAAGAAAACTGAAGGGGCTCCTTTGCAAGATAGCCCCTTGAAAAATAAATCACAAGATGAACAGAAAGATACATTTGAACATGACCCATCAGAGTCTCTTGACGATTTTAACAAATCATCAGCAGCTTCTGGCGACATTTGGCCTGGCCTTTCAGCGTATGATAACAGTCCAAGGTCACCCCATAGTCCTTCTATTGCCACCCCACCTAGTCAGAGTTCATCTTGCTCTGATGCCCCTTTGCTTAGCACAGCCCACTCAGCAAAGGACACACCTCAACATTCCCATTCCATTCAGCATAGTCCTGAGAGGTCTGGCTCTGGTTCTCTTGGAAATGGTTCTAGCCGTTATAGTCCTTCTCAGAATAGCCCATTGCATCATATCCCTTCGAGGAGAAGCCCTGCAAAGACAATCCCATCACAGAGTGCTCCCCGTGAGGAGGCTCGAGTGCGGTCATTTTATCCTGAGGGTGGTGAACAGGAAACTGCGAAAGGTGGAAAGTTTATGAAAAGGTAAGAATTAAATTACAAACGTAATGTTGCCTCTTAAAATGCTGTCTGTTATAGAGTTTTGACAAGATCATCACTCTGCCTTGAAAAACACAATGTGGAATAAATATTACTAATTTTAGTCTGGTTGGAGTTGAGCTTGAAACATATGCCTCTTCCTCCTAAGATGCTTCAAGTTCTTGGCCATTGGCTAGTGGAGATAGGGACATGTATTGTTGAGGAAAAATTGGTTTGTGCTTTTCCTTTACAGTGTATTTTCTTATACTCCATTTACTGTTAAGAAAAATCTTAGCTGGAATAGTGCATCAGACTTGCTTGTTTGATAGGGAATTCTGTTCAAGTATTTTAAAATCTTAATGCTTCATGTAGTTTGAAATGCAAATCTTCTGGAAGTCTAAAAATGCAGATGTTGCACAATGATTTCTTTGTTAACATGAACAGCATCGATTGCTAATTGTGTGGTGTAGTATCGCAACTCTGATGCCTTGACTTTCATTACTTATGAAAGAGGGTAGGTCTTGGTATTCTTGGAACATAATTCTAGTGATGTGAAGGATGACATATTTAAAGTTCAATGTATATTTTCCAATTAACGTAAAATTCTTCAATGTGCTCTTAAAATGTTTGATATAGTAGTAATTTTTAAAGGTTGTAAAAATCTGACATTAGACTGTTCCTTTCTAAAGTGACTTGTACTTCAGTGGATTTCACAAAATGAATTATAGAGGAAAGTTGTGACTATGCTATATAGGCTTGATTGAAGGCTTTTAAATGAATTTGTCCAGTCAGTGATTTATTATGTAAACATACACTGCTTAGAAGATCAAAAATACAACTTCCCCTGTGGTAGATGTATTGGAGTTGGTGAATGTGTTACAACCTATGTGAAAATAGTGCATAGATAAGGCAGTGGCTGAAATAATTAATTGGTAAGTGTGTTTCTGTGTTTAGGAGAGTTGCCTTCTAAAGGTTCCCTGCTTGTACACAACATAGTGAATGCATTAAGCCTGTGTCGGATTTTGGAATTCTCTTAGAAATGTGCAGAATCTTGAATATCATTCACTTTTTTTCTATGGTACTCCTTTAAATTTTCCACTAAAAGAAGGACAAAAATGAATTGCAGTCTGAATTATGAAATTTCTTGTGAATTTGATGGAAAAAAATAACTGGTGTAAGAGAATGTGAAACTGGGTACTGATTAAGAAAGAAAACAAACCACTAGCTTTTTTATAAACTCAAGCAGAGAGTTTTTAGGTGTTCTACAGAAAGGCATTATATTCTTCAGATGCCTCCAGTAGTACATAAATGACAGTGGGTACAGTGTTAATGGTGTGTGAAGTGTTGCATGCTGAAGTTAAATTGCTCAGAGGAATGTATTTTCTTCTTTTTGGTGTGGGATTGACACAAAAGAGGAATGCAAGTGAACTGGAATGAATGCACTCCAGAGTTACCAGTCTCTTCTTTGCTATCCACAGGTACACAGATGAAGAGTCTAGAGTATACCTGCTTGATAGGGGTAATACCAGGGAGAAGGAGGCCCAGAAGGAGAGAGGATCAGAAAAAGGGAGGACAGAGGGAGAAAGGGAATGGGAGGAACAGGAAACTTTAGATTTTTTCGTTGATAAAGAGACTGGGAAAGAAAAGTTTAATGACTCTGAAGGGGAGGACACAGAGGAGACAGAGGATTACAGACAGTTCAGAAAGTCTGTCCTGGCAGATCAGGGTAAAAATTTTCCTACTGCATCTCACCGGAATGCTGAGGAGGAAGGAGCCAAATACAAATCTAAAATATCAATCAAGGGCAATAGAGAGAGCGATGGATTTAGAGATGAGAAAAGTTATAAGCTTAAAGAGACTGGCTATGTAGTGGAAAGGCCTAGTGCAACAAAAGATAAGCACAAGGAAGAAGACAAGAGTTCTGAGAGACTAATGATGAAGAAAGAAACTCAGTCACCTGAGCAGGTAAAGTCTGAAAAGCTCAAAGAACTCTTTGATTACAGTCCCCCTCTACACAAGAATCTGGATGCGAGAGAAAAATCCACCTTCAGAGAGGAGAGCCCACTTAGGATCAAAATGATAGCCAGTGACTCCCATCGTCCTGAAGTTAAACTCAAAATGGCACCGGTACCTCTTGATGATTCCAATAGGTAAATTATTCCACTTTACAGTGTGGTTCTCCACCTGCCTGCAGTGTCATTCCTCTTTATTTAAACTAGTGGTTTCTTTTTGTGTGTCTCTTTTGTTGTTGATGCATTTTAGACCTGCTTCCTTGACTAAAGACAGGCTGCTTGCTAGCACACTTGTCCATTCCGTCAAGAAGGAGCAAGAGTTCCGATCCATCTTTGATCACATTAAGTTGCCACAGGCCAGCAAAAGCACGTCAGAGTCATTTATTCAGCACATTGTGTCGTTGGTTCATCATGTCAAAGGTATGTATTCAGTTTATTGTACTGAATATACGTCTGACAATTTCATTTCAGCCTGTTTGCTGTCTCTAGTACAGGAAGGTTTCAGCCCTCTTTCAGTGTTGTTTTAGTCAGACTTTCTTCCTTTTGAGGTACACATAAAAATAATTAGAAGGATAATAGCTACAGAAGCTAGTATAAAAAAACCCAAGCAGTGTAGAGCATCATAGCAGTTATACTATGTTTCTGGATAAATTTTTGAGCAAAGCTAGCATATAAAGTTTGAATTTTTGCAGTGTAGTTTTAAACATACTACATTGGTCAATCTTTTCTTACTTAGTTTTCTTTTAATGGCTCTTAGCATACAATTTTATATTAAGTGGTGCAATGTGGGTTGACAGGTGTCTTTTGCACTGTAAATAAATACAATGGCATTCCTTTTGGAGCACCCTAGAGCTCATTTCCAGGTCCTTACTAGAAGGCGTTTTTGTCTCAAAATAAGGTTGAAGAAAAATTGTGCTCTAGATTATACTAAAATAAACTGTGATATTTCGTTTTATTCCTATTTGACAGTATTGCAGTACTGGAGCCAGGAATTTCACTTATAGGAACTTGGCAGTCGCTAAATAAACCTCCATTAAAGGAATTATACACCAATTATTTTCTTATTTAACAGTAGTAGCTGTTGCTTATTATAAACATGCAAAAAACCCCAACCAAACAAGAATAACAAAAAAACCCACCAAAAAACCTACCAAAACCCAAACCCAGACCATCAAAGTAGATATATTTCATTTAGGTCACATATCCTGTCAAAGTTTTCTGATGGAAAAATAGATAATTCCTTAAAATCCAGTGAGGATATCTGGAGAATTCTTTAAAATGCTTTATTTCTGTAGCATTTACTTTATTTCACTGGGCTGTTGTCTTGTTCTTGTGTTTAATGTACTGAGATAATATGGAAGAATTTGCTGGTGAAAATAATTTTGACGTATCATCATACAAAGGGGGAATGTGGAAATGCTTAATTAGGTGACCAGTTTCAGCATATCTACCTGTAAGCATTGTTTTTTTTAAGATGCTTTAGCTTCTAGAATTGCAAAGATTTGTGCGTTAGAAATACGTGCTAAGGTTCTGTTAAAAGTCTCATTTTGTTGGCAAAATTCACATTACTAAGGTGAAATGATTTCCTGCATTTTGAATTACTTATAAAGGAGGAACTAATAGTCAGCAATAATAGATTATGATAATGTATTAGATTTTGAAAAATTCTTATTGGGACAGCTGCATAGAGTATAATGATTTGTTGTGAAAGCATCTATTTTATTGATATGTAAAGAGCTTTAAGGCTCAGTCCAGTGAGAGCCTCTGTAAGTTTTTGCTTATGTGGTACATATGTAGGCTGTAGGTGAAATAATATTCCTGAAACTCTCACATGTCGATCACAGAATAGACTTTTTCTGTAAACTTTGTATGTTAAACAAATAACTGTTAAATGTAACAGCTTAACAGCCTATCTGGTCAAGTTATTAGAATATGTACAGTTATGGTTGTTTTTGAAAGCAGAACCTCTCTTTAAGTTTGAAATTTACTGTAGTCTGTAATCCGATTTTAGTAACTCTTTTGACAAATTGCAGTTATGTTCATTATTGGTGTGATGCGACCAGTCTGAACAGCTCTTTATTAATGTAGAGCTGAAAATGCCCAGTGATGTTTTCTTTTTCATTGTAACTAGGTCCTGGAATGTGTTTTGAAATGGCAAAATCCATGTTACAAAAGTAAAATAGCTGTTGAAAGATACAGATGCCAAACAGGCAAAGTTGAACCTTCTGTCTTCCTGGCAAAAATGGCATAAAAACAGAGTTGCTAGCTCAAATTCCTGTGTTTGATGGAATTATGATTGAGGCACTACCCTTGTAGTGGCCGTTTCAAGTTTTAATGGTTGGTTATGAGACAAATACTGGATGCCGGGCGGTAAGTTGATACAGATGTATGTTGACCTGTTAAGCAGATAGCTTGCTTCATATGTAACATTTCATAGCTCATGACTTTATGTATTTCTATATTACATTTAAACACATTTGTTGAGCTGGTTTAAAAACTGAGTTTTGCTGTTGCTAATTTAACTGTCTCTGAAGGAAAGAGAAAATTTGTCAGAGAAGTTGTCAAGTTTGCCAAGATGCCAGATGCTTAAATGAATTTATTTACATATAGGTGTGTTAATTGTCTTGGATCGTTTATCATCACAACCTCAAATCAAGAAATTGTACTCCTTTAAGAAATGACTTGTTAGGTCATTCATGTAGTTATTGAAGCATACACTTAAGTGTTTTCACTGAATTAACTCTTACTTTAAGTTAAAGATGAGATGAATAGTAAAATGTACTTATTGCAAGTATTCATGACTCAAAGTAACTTCATTTTCTCTTATGGGCAAAGTATAAAATAACTGTTAAGAAATTGCTCCCTTCTCTTTCATTAGAGGAAAAGGTCATTGAAATGAGCAAGTCTAATCAGTAAATGATGCTTGAATTAGATGTAATACAGTCATGGCATAGTTATAAGTAGACTTGCAGTGATGCTGTGCACTGTTACTTTGTTTTGGTTACAGAATGTGTAAAAATAGGGAAAACACCACATTTGCTTGTCCTGATAGATTTATTGAAAATACTATGTTTTTTGCCTGCTACTTGCCTTTCTGTCAGGAGTAAAATACCTGTCAGTTGAATTAAACTAATGAAACAGTGTTTTTTCTATTGTAACCAACAGAGCAATACTTCAAGTCAGCTGGAATGACCCTAAATGAGAGGTTCACTGCATATCAAAAAGCTACTGAAGAACACTGCACCCGGCAAAAGAGCCCAGAAATACATAGGTACATGTTAACTGCATATGTAGATGCTTTGTGTTTCAAATAATGTCTGTTACTATTTCTTTTGAGAACCAAAAATATTTTTCGTAATCTATATGGAGCAGTTTACAAAGAAATTGACAAATACAAAACACCAAAAAACCCCACCAAAACCCCCTTCTGTAAAAACTCATCTGAGCCCAGTCTGGCTTCATCTGTGGTGTTGTAGAAGATGTCTTCTCTACCTCTGTATCTCATTTGGGATATATTTACTTTTCTCACATGCAGTGCTCAAATATTGAGGGGCATATGTCTTGAAGATGAAAAGAAGCCCTGTACATGCATCTTTATTCTTCAGTATGAAATGTTCCATCTCATACTACTTTAGTTTTTGTTTGTGTTAATTTACAGCAGTCTTTTTTTTTTTTTTGAAAAATCTGAGAGCCTGAAAGGTAAGAAGGTAGGCATGCAGATGTAGTTTCTGATCATGTGCTATTTATGATGCAGTGTACTATATTTGTGTTGCATGTGAGGATATATTATCTCCATATTCAGTATCCAACTTCACAAGTTTTCTTAACTCTTCAGTATTTTTGACTTTACAGCAAACTACCACAGTGTTGATGATTTCTTTGGGGGGTGGATTTTCAGCTGGCTACATATACTGATCTTTTGAAATAACTCATTAGACATATTTTGTATCTTCAAAGCTGTACTTAAAATGTGAAAAACCAAACTGTCTATTTTCTGTATTTGTGTTTCTAGCATACTTCACACAAAACAGAACCAAGGTTTTTAATTTTCACTCTGCTTCTGTATTCTGGTGGGGCTTTATATGTAAAAAATTCTGTTCTACTGCGAAAATGCCTTGTTTCTCAGTTTTCTGTTGAAAAGAAATGTCTGAGGCCATTGACAGTCACATACATGTATGGCAAGACACTGCTTTTATTTTACATTTAGGAGGATTGACATCTCTCCAAGTACCCTGAGGAAGCATACCCGTTTAGCAGGTGAAGAGAGAGTCTTTAAAGAAGAAAGTCAAAAAGTAGGTTCTAAGTAAATGTCCTGTCTGTATTTCCGAACTTAATTTAATGTGTTTCCCTTTAAATCTAAACTTCAACTTTGTGTTTGTATATGAAAATACAAAAAAAAAAATTTTATTTATTGTATCTGGAGTACTTGCATTTAGAACATGTTGTAACATGTTAACAAGCCAGTTTATGTTGCATGATTTTGCTGTATTGATAACGTCGCATATAAGGTCAAGTCTTCTCCCACCCTTCCTTTCTTCTTGGACAGTTCTTGACCAATTTTGTGGCACTAAGCTGCCCAAGGACAAAGAATACAAAGAATAGAAGGAGGGTGGGGGAAGTACCGAGGTGGTCAGTGAGTAGTATGGTTGAATTGCAAAGGTGCTTGTGCTCTGTTAAAAACAATTTGCCAGAAGAAATGAATATGTAAACATCCTCCCAAACCATGTATTATGGTCTGTCTGTATCAAAAAGTAGATATCCCATTGGCTTGATGGGAATGCTTGTTTGAAACTGAAATTCTTAGCTGTTCTTCTTTTAGATCTAGCCATTGCATGTAAAGGGCGTTCACTTAATGTCAATTTGTGTGCTGAAGACTGTTGAAAAAATAGGTAAATTCTATCTTGCTTTTTTGAAAATTGATGCACAGCTTACCTTTCCATTCAGATTCTCTTCTGGATATTTTATTTCAAAATTTTGTTCCAAAATATATATTTGTTTACAGGGAGATAAAAAATTGAGGTGTGATTCTGCTGATCTTCGGCATGACATTGACCGACGTAGAAAAGAGCGAAGTAAAGAAAGAGGAGACTCAAAGGGTTCCAGGGAATCCAGTGGGTCAAGAAAGCATGAGAAAACTCCAAAAGATTACAAGGATTACAAATCTTACAAAGATGACAGGTAAATATTTGAAGTCCCTATATAGGTTTTTAGCTTCTAATTAGTCTTTTGTAATTGTAAGCTTAATTGCTTTCAATTTTCAATGTATAATGGAACGTTTAAATTTAAACAATTAAAATTATTTGTTTTACAGCAAATATGTATTATCTGTCTTTTACACGGCTTATGGTGGATGAGGACAAAAACTTTGGAATAGCAAGCTAACACTGAAAAAAAAAATGACAAATTAATCTGTCCTATTATCCAGGCTACATCAGGAGGTTGGACTTCAATGCAGTACATTTCTATAAACAGTTTGTGTAAGAACTTTGGTTCGTTATGCTTGATTCCGCACTTTTTCAACTCATAACACCCAGAGTATGAGAACCTTACTGATACTTAGGTTTTAACATGGGTGAAAAGGGGAATTTTTATTTTTGTCTAAAGCCAGTGGGCTGTTTTTAAGAAAAAAAAAATTAGCATATCTCAGTGGATACTGTGTAGCAGTGGTAAGAGTTACTTCAGGTATGACTTTCCTTTGAATAGAATATTAAAATCTTGTAAATTGGGCCAAGTTAGTACCACTATGGGGTTACTAAAAGTCTTGCTGTAGCAGTTTTTTTTCCCTGCTTTGTACTGGATATACAATGAATTTTTACTTACACTTCCTGTTTCCCATTTACTTTCTGACTTTGGTATCCACATTATCTTCCACTGGCTAATTCCATACAGCCATCTACATAGGGAAGCCCACACGGTATCTTCTCAACAGTGTGCAAACTGATCTATGTAAAGTTACTGCAAAACTTTGCCTTGAGGGTTTTCTTCCCTTAAATTTTTGTTTTTCTGCCTCGGAAGAAAGGCAGATCTTAAAAGTAACAAAATCTGTTCATGGCATCAAAACCTAGAAAAACTGTATTTGCAGTTTGCAGACTGCTGCTTTCCAACTCACTAGCAATAATATACATTTAGTGCATTTAAATGTGTAAGAGGAGGCTGGAAAGTGGAACTATACTTCACCTTAACATCTGAAATATGTAACATGTATGTGACTTTATCATCAGAAGGGGGATAGTTTTTCATAAAATATAAAGAGACCCCTTTTAGTATAGCATGTTACAGACTGTCTCGTACTTTTAAAATAGCACACAGTGTATGTTTTTATTTTTCAGTAAACAAAAAAGAGATCAAGACCGTGCTCGGTCCTCCCCATCTTCATCCCCATCATCTTCCTCATCCAGTTCTCGAGAAGAAAAGGATTGCAAGAAAGAAAGAGATGAAGAGTTCAAAACCCACCATGAACAGAAAGAATACTCTGGTTTTGCAGGAGTCAACAGGCCAAGAGGCACCTTTGTAAGTTGCTGTCTTATACTATTCCCCCAAATTATGAACACTTCACCAATAGTAATAGTATAACAAATAAAATGAGGAAGTGTTGCAGTGATTAATGTTAGCCTAGACTTCTTTCATAGCAGTGATTATTGCATTTTTATGTGATGTACCAAACCTGAAAAGTTGGGGTTTTTTTTCCCCAGCACTGCCCAATAGCAGCTAATTGGTGCGTAAAAATGCATTAGCATACCACTAGAGACCCTAGTGGAAGGGTAGGAAAATAATTTCTTGCTTATTCCTTGCTCTTTTATAATTATGTTGTTTACTAACAGGATCTGAATGAAAATTTACCTTTCTGTAGAGATTAAATGTTGTGATCTGTTACCTCTCAACTCCTTGCAGTTTCTGTTTTTCCCTGTCATTTTCAGTTTGGTTTTGCCCTCCTTTCTAATGCCTGCAACTTGTTAAATAGAGAATGGTGCATAACTAAAAAATACACCTCAACCTTGAAACAGCTCTGTTGAGGAGAGGAGATGGTATACTTGTTATTTTTCAGTGTTTCTTTGGCCTGAACTAGCCACAGTGAGCATGAAAGCTCATTAATTTAGCTCTGGAATATGTTTCAGCATTGTGATTTGGAAAGTGACACATTGACCACTATAGCCCTCAGAAAAATTTTAAAGTTAAAAATTCCATGTTAATATAATTACTGATACTTAAATGGGAAATGTAGAAGCATTAGGAAAGACTAGGAATCAATAAAGGAGGCCTTGAAAAGAGAAGGAACACTTTAAACAAACAAACTCCCCTCCCCCCCCCGCCCCCAACCAAACCATAACAAAAAAAAAACCCAAACAAAGCACAAAAAAAAGGCAAGTTCTGTGTTTCGGTGGGGAAAGAACTGTCAAATAGACTTACGTAATGGGTAGGAGTAATTTCATACTTCCACAATAATTCCTTCATGTAGCCTGTAATTAAGATAACCTGTAAAGAACACTAAAAGACATTGTTTGGTATAAGTGCACATTAAATTGTTTTGTAGTAGTGTAAAAAGTTTGGAACTAGACACAAGGGTGCCTGAAATATATGTAGGGTGTGCAATACTCGAGTTAACGGTTGAATCTTCCATCTGAAGAACTGTTGCTACTTAGAAAATTCAAAGTCCAAAACTTCTAACACTAAAAATGCATCACTTCCTCCTTTCTTGTTTTTTTTAAATGTAATTATACTAAGGAACACTCATGTGGCATAAATGTATAAATCCTTGGGTGGCGTAGGCATCAAATATGACAGTATCAGCACAATTTCTAGCTGTATAAGGTAGTGGCACTGAGTTAAACAAAAGTAGAGCTTAAAACACCCTCTCATCTCAAAGAGAATCAATTGAAGAAAACTTATAATTGATGGAAGCCTTACTGCTTTATAAAACCAGATTGTACATATCATGAAAGAGGTGCTACTTTAGATGAAATTTAAGTAGATGTGAATTGGAAATGTAATAGACTTCTACTAATTTAACTACTGGTGACTGTGCAGTAATAACTGGTTAATGTTCCCTAATGACATACATGGTCACACACAGGCTTACTGAACAAACTGTGTCTGAACAGGAGAATTTAAATAGACCAACCTGTTGACTCATATCTTCTCTTCAAGGATACAGCTTGGATAGTATTGAAACATAGGGGCTGGCTAGTGTAGGAACGTCTGTGTAATTCAGGCTAATAGTGGCTGCATTCCAGTAAATACTGCTCTGCTTTTGGAGTAAATAAAATGTTTCGGTTTTGAATCCTCCCCAGAGCAGGAATAGGGGATAGGATAAGGGAGACTTTAATGAAATTGACAGCTTGGCTTACATGTTAAATCAACAATGATTCTTCACTAACACTTGCTGATAGACTATAATACTTAGTTCTAGGCTTTTAGTACATAAACATCATGAATAGTTTTGAAGTAGGAGCACAGAAATAAGGATAAATAGAATGTTTTAATGACACTGTCATTAGTATCCAGCTCCTAAAGAATTCTGTGTGTAACAGTTCTGTTTAAAAGCAGTTTTCTCTTTCTATAGAAAGTGTACTCTTGTCTTTTTTGTGATGGTCTTTGCGGTAAGCAAGCCCATAAAGATAATACTGTAGTGGATTTCATCTGCTGTATTTCTTTGCCTGAAAGATGATGTGGTGGTGGGGTAGTGTTAATACAGTGCTGAGGAAAGCTCGAGATATTTTTCTTAAAGAGAATCTGATCATAGGACCTAATATCAGGAAATGCAGTTCTCTCTTTTTTTTTTTGGTTGGTTTTTTTTTTTTCCTGTCATAATTTTGTTGCTACATCCTTTTGGCCCCCTCACTGTGATACTGCTTTTTGTGCCCTATATTTGTGAAGGTTTCAAAGCTATTGGAAATAAAGCATGTGGAATTTCCTCTCTTGTACAGTTTTTTTCAGGTGATAGTCTGTCACTTTCCAAGTGATTCTCTAAGCTTTTTTTTCATTTGCCTACAGTGTATTGGACAGGCCTTATGAGCCTTTTACAGACTGTTTTTTAGTATGTTTGATTTCAGAGTAGTTTTAAAACTGTCCGGCATAAACTCTGCATTAGCAGTGTTAGAACTTTGTGGAACTAAGTATGCATAATAATCCTCTTTGAAGTTAGTTAATTATATCTTTTTTTGGTCTATGTTTATGGAACATAGTTATTTTTAACAAAGGGAATTAATTTTCAGTCATGGTTTTTGTACAGATGCTCTGAAGACCCAGTTCTGTATTTTTAACTAGGCTGTTTATGGGAATGGTGTTCTGTAGTAACTGCAGGTTTTAGCAGTCTATCTTCCCAACCTGACCTTTCTTCTCTGCTTGAATGGAGGGTATAAACTCCTGTTTAATGTTTTCTACAAGCTGAAAATCTAGATGCTGAGGGAACTGTATGTATTACTACTTAGTGTATTCTAGGTTAAGTATTTTCTTTATTGCTGTGAGACTTTTTAGCCTAACATTTTAAAATCCTGTTAATTCATTTTAAAGACTATTTAAGACACTACTTTTCACTTCAAGCATTGTTACTCTGTACAATATATATTTTTCATTTTTCAGAGTAAAGAGTTTACTCATTTGAAATTTAATTTGGCCTAAAGTACATTTCTGAATTGCAGTTGAAACTGTTTGAGTAACACAAAGTGGACATACTTATTTGAAAACTGCATTGTTTGTATGTATTCTAGAATCACTTTCTTGTAACTGATAGGACTGACACCATAAATGACCTTTCTTTTCCCCCCTGATAGTTTTCTTCTTTCAGTCTAGTTTTTCTGTTTGTTTTTTGTCTATGAACAGCTTCAGAAGCTTCTGCTGACCTTTTGTCGCAACACACTGGTTTACCAGCAAAGGAAATTTCTTTGGTGGTTGTGGGTGAATTTATGCCAAGAACTCAAATGTGTTTCAATTAAGTTTATCATTATTTCAAAGTGAATGCTTGACTATATTAAGGTAATATGTGAATGTGAAAATGGTTTTACACTTGCAGATACTGTAATTAAGCACAGAAACAGCATTTTCAGTAATAGAGAACTTGAACTCTTCTTTGTGGTTTTATGTAAATGGATTAAATGACATCTTGGTTAATCAGTTTCGAATTAGGGGCAGAGGAAGAGCCAGAGGAGTCTTTGCTGGAACAAATACTGGTCCCAGCAACTCAAATACTACTTTTCAGAAGAGACCGAAGGAAGAGGAGTGGGATCCTGAATATACCCCAAAAAGCAAGAAATACTTCTTGGTGGGTGTGGAGAACTCGATATCTTATGCATGCTTTTGTTTTTTCAAACTTTCTACAAGCGTAGAAGTAGCATGCATGTACAGACAAGGACTTCAGTTGTGTAACCATGAGAATACCGGGGTGGGTTTAGTGCCCGGTTCTGCTTCTCTTGCATCTGTCCGCATCAGGCTGGCAATAACTGTGGCCTGATGGGGAATTAATCTCCAAAACTTGCATCAGTGCATGGGGAAGAAGGCAGACTCAGACTAAAATTATTAAAAACAAATTTTAAACCAAAAAGACTTGTGCTGTTTTTTCCTGAATTTATGTCTGTCTGGCATTTGAGCTTTGTCTTAGATTTGTCTGGAAGTCTGCAAAAGTGGAAGATCAGGAAAAGCTGACAGTATTTGTGGATGTATGTAGGCTGACTGTTATTAGCAGTCCTGCTGTTCTTAGTTGAATTGTGTGATAGTCATAAGAAAATCACCTTAGTTTTGATGCCTTTTCCCCATCTGGATTATGAAAGGAGGACTGTTGATGTAACCACCCAGTAAGTAGTGTAGTCTACTGAATACGTAGCCTCTGTTCCAGTTGATTTCCTTAACAATGCTAACTTCTAAGGATATTGTTTCACCACTGAAAAATGTTAAGTAGTGAAGATTAGAGCTTCTTCTATAGCATTATAGTTTGTCACAAATATGCTAACAGGTAATCCAAGAAATAATGCAGCCACGATTTGGATGTTTGTACAAGGAGCTCTCCTCCATCTCCCCACGCATACATAAACTTTTCTGATCAATAAACATAGAAAGACATGTGATAATATATTCATTAAGAAATGCTATGATAGCTAGAACAAATAATTGTAGCTATTAAACTTTTTTCTTATCTCTAAAAACCCCATTTTTTAATTAAAAAAAAGCCACCCTTTAACTGTTCCTATAATATATAATTAATAAACTGCTTTATATACGTGTGGTATGTGTTTAATAGTTCAAATTTCTTTCCAAATCACAAGTAAAAAAAGCAGATATTGAAGCAAGTGTACCTCACTCTTCTAAAGATAAACTTTTTTATATTAAATAATTGTCTGTAGTGTTCATGCAGTGCACAGAATGATTGCCAGAAGACTATGTTAAGCTATATTTTGTAGCAAGATAGCAAATTTTAAGCTTATTAACCAGAGAAACTCAGCTGCTGTTAATGTCAGATTTAAACAGTTTAAACTACATTTGCCCTGCATTGCACAGGTGAAGCAAGGTGTCTGAAAACTGCCTTCAATTACCTTTCCTTAATAAGTATAAAGAACTTTATGTCTGTATTAAAGTAAAAAATAAAAAAAAAATTTAGCACATTCCTAGAGCTTCTTCCTTTAAAATCACAGATTTTTTTTTTCTCAAAACTAGCGAGTAATTCTTTCTTCTGACTAAAGATAAGTGACAGATAACAGATTTGCTACTCAGAAACATTTGAGTAGACCCACAGCTAAGGGGGGCTCTTAAAACAATTTTATTGTTGTGGTTTTATAGCATCGTGAATTGTAAGGATATATTTCATAAATTTATTTCTATAAATTATGATCTGAACTGTTAAAAAGTTATCTTAATTTTTTTTTTCCTATGTATAGTATAAATTTGATATAGAGTACTGACATTAAATGGGTATATTTAAGAGGTGTCCTAACCTTATTCTTTGTCTGGTATTATTGTAGCATGATGACAGAGACGATGGTGTGGATTATTGGGCCAAAAGAGGAAGAGGCCGTGGTACTTTCCAGCGTGGCAGAGGGCGTTTTAACTTCAAAAAGTCAGGTAGCAGTCCGAAGTGGACACATGACAAATACCAAGGGGATGGGATTGTGGAAGATGAAGAAGAAACGATTGAGAATAATGAAGACAAGGACAGACGCAAAGAGGAAAAGGTAAGCAGTTTAGTGAATCGCAGATTAGACAGTTCATCTTGCAGTATCTTAAGTAATTGTGTGGGTGTGTGGGTGGATCACTTTAAAAGGTTTCGGAGTTTGGTTATTAACAGTTTACAAGAAGACTTTTCTTTCTTTCCACAGGAATAACCCTGGAAGAAAGTTGTAGCTGAAAGAGCAGCTCTTGCACCACCCACACAACATTTTTAATATGTTTTTTTTTGTTGTCAAATGAATGTAAGCATTTTACTTAAATTTTACTGTTGGAAAGTAGTTTAGAGGGATTGTTTTTGTTTTAAGCCTTTAGAAAAAAATCTTGATATAGTAAACTATGTTAATGATCGTACAGGTAGAAAGTAAAATATTTGTAACAACTTTTAAGAAATTTTACTGTTTGTTATATGCAGTGTAATTCTGCTTTGTCCAAATATATGGTCAAGTACAACTCTAAAAGTTTTGATTCTCCCCTATGTCTGTGTTTTATTCTGAAGTAAACTTACAGCTCTGCACACCTGAAATCTTGGAGCAGCATTTTTTATAAACTGATTATTTCTGTGTTGCCTTTTTATAAGAATTGTATTTAAGGATAGTTATCCAGTCATAGTGTAAGTACAAATGAGTTGTGCAAAATGCTGATTATACATTAGTTCACGAGAATCACATTTACATAATGTGTCAGTGATAAACCTGGATTCTTACTCCACCCTGCTAGAGACTGCTGCAAGAATTTTATCTTCGAGAGTGAAACTGTCACTCTTTTTTTAGTAGCCTAAGAAATACATATGTATATAAATACTAAGCTGAGTTTGAAGTGTATTATTTCCCTTCTGGAATGTGAGTTTTAGAAACCTATTTCAAGTCACTGCTGCTAGAAGCTTTTAAACAGATCTGAAAACTGGAATTCCCTCCCCCATCTCTGTAGTTAGGGCAGAACTACCTACAACTAGCTTAATTCCTGTAGCTTGAGTCTAGAACAGACCAGTCATGTATTATGGATACCTAGTGATTTGCTTTGTTATTAAAAGATGCTTCTTTTGTCAAGGGTAACTTAGTGTAATTTTTAAGTTTTTATAAACCTAGGGTTTAAACTCATTGCAGGAAAAGTGTGCTGGCCATAAAGTATGAAGTACAAGTGGCATTTTCAGGGCCACTAGCATTTATAGTTTCAGATTTCTGTTGATAGCTTAACCGTCAACAGAACACTTCATTTAAGAAATTGGTGGCAGTATAAATCTAGCTGCTTCTTTATCAATTTTTATTGCAGTTTGTTAAAACTGCCTCTTTGATTTCTTTATGTGGACTTGCCTCTCCAGGTATGTAATCTGACAAGAGTCTTTGCATCTTCTATCACATTTGCAGCCTTAAGTGAAATGGGGGACACACACAAACGACACCCGACAAAACCATGACAAAAATCCCTGAAAAAGTAAAGCAAGATATGCTAAAACCTGAATCAGTAAAGATACTTCAGATATACTAAATGTTTCTATAAAATCTGAATTCCATTGCAGTGCCCTGGAAGCACCTTTCTTTAATGTTCCACTTTATAGAATGTGTAAATCTGAGGTTAGAACTCAATGGTAAAAAATAACTTAGCAAAAGGTGTGAGAAATGAGTCTTACTTTCTTTGCCACCGATTTCTAAATAGTTGTGCTTCTAGTATTTTTCTAGCCAAAGTGCAGATACAATTGTTTGGGGTTTTATTTAAACAAAACCAACAAACCCACAAACTTAGTTTAGTGGTAGGTATGCTTTTAACCTATGGAACGTTAAGGATGATGGTAATATACTTGAATTAACAGAACAAAGACATTCTGATACAACAAGACTACTTAGGTTTTCTTTCTCAACCAACTATAGATACAGTAAATCTTAATGTTATATGGAGTTAAAAGTGTAGTTGTTCTTAGTTTGCCCCTTGGAATGGCATACTGCCTTTAAAAAAATGGGAGGAGGGGGAAGAAGCTTTGGTGGAGGTGTTTGTATTAAATACATATATGATGTAATGCTCTCTTACTGGCTTTACTGTTAGGGAGTAGTTAACCATCTGCCCTATACAAATTAAAGACCAGAAGGTAGAAAAACGTAGTACTGTCACTAATCCTAACTGTAGTTGAGGAAACTGTATTTCAGATTGTACTGTTTGCCAGCATCTGTGTAGAAAGGGGAATAGGAATAATACTTGCCCTCCAGTAGTAGCTACTAAAGGGTCATTCCTGCTTTAAGTTTTAGGAAGTTCAGGTAAACTATACTGTTGTTGCAAGATCTGCTTTTACATGCATAGTGCATCTTTTAATAGCTGTTTGAAATGTAAAACTGATTATTCCTTGGACTTCTAGCAAAGCTCACACAGACTTTGTGTATACGTAATCAGAATAAGCAAGAAAAGAAACAAAACAAACTTGGCAGCAGTGTCAGTCTGTCCTAATGAAGTGAAATTTAACATCAGTCTGAAACTAATGAATAGGACCAAGATATACTTGAACTGTCATAACCTTAGAACAGATAACCTGTATCATCTAGGTCAAGTTGAAAGTGGATTGTTGTGGTCTTGTGTGTCATAAGGCAAAATAGTTCCTGCATGATGAGGCAGATTTAAGTTTTCTGCTTCAGTTGAATGTCCAAGGAAATATGGTAGAGATTGATTTGATAATGGCATTTGATCATACAGACCTGTCTGTAGGTTAGATCATAAAAATCCTTTTTTTATTATCCTTAATTTCAGTGCAGTTTATTAAAAATGTTATTTGTTGATTACAGAACACAAGGTGACAGCCATAAATTTATTTATTTAAAAAACCTGCTTGAATTAAGATAATCTAGCTGAAGGTGCAAGTTGCAGTCTATCAGAGATCTATAAGAAACAAAGTGGGAATTGAATTTTTTTTTTTTTTTTAATCCCAAACTAATGTTTCAGCTCTTACTAGTCATTCAACATGAATAGTGAATTTTCACTGTCAGGATAAGAAAAAAAGGTTTGAGGTTTTCATTTGGTGCTACTGAAGTAGTTTTATGACTGTTGTGAATGGAAGTTCAATACCATTTGCATTTCTTTTTTAGAAGGTAAAGACCATCATTGATGGATCTGCAGGGAAAAAAAATCCAAGCATTCTACTGGTGTAGAATTAACTACACTTTGAGTTCAGTAATTCGTTCTGACTCATTGCTCTCCAGCAATGAAGCAGTTTTGGAGTCTGCTTCATCTCTGTGTGGTGTGCTTACGAAGTTATCCCTGCAGTTCAGAGAAAACTGGACGTTCATTTCACTAGGCAAAAAAAACCCCCAAACCAAAACCCAGAACGCAGTAGCTATAGTGTTAGTCTAGACTCTGCACTCATTCAGTTTCTTGGTTTGGAATTAAATCTCACATCCTGTTACTTCCCAGGAACAATCAGTAGCATTACTGTAACAGTGGGCAGCCACATGGGATTAAAGCTTTCCTGCATTAGTTTTGCTGTTCTGGTGCTTCAGAAGAAGAGCTGTTACCTAGCTTTGATTTACCTCCGGAGGTAAAGGCTGCAGCATTTAGTCTTAAGCCCCATGTCACTATCCTTGTTTCTTAAAGCTGGCCTTTCATGAAATCCTTTTGTTTAAGGAGGTCCTGCAGGTCCCATCTGTATTGCTCAGAGTTATACTTGCTGACTTGAAGCATTTCTGTATGAGTTCCCAACTGGCGCCTCCAGTTCTGAAGCAGGTGGTTGTTGGTGGTGGTGCAGTCAGACTAAATTGCTTCAGTTTTGCGGTTGCTTTTCAGACTTTGCCTCTTCCTAGCTTTGTGGTAGAACTGCATGCAGTTATTCCCATATGATCCTGCTGGCGTTTCCAAAGGTGTTGAGTGAGAAGTGGGCGAGAAGTACATTTTGTTAAGGCAAGTACTATAGTACAGTGTTTAAAAAATACCCATTAAGAAGTCCTCCCCTTCCTCTCCTCAAGCTTAAACCCTCCTAGGCCCCTAAACCAGCGATATGCTGTTACTACAGCTTGTGTTGCTGGTACTATTCTTCCTTTGTGTTCGGTCTTAGAGAATCAATCCACATGACAAGTTATGGATACCAGTAACTATAAGAAGAGGCAGTAACTCTTGCATTGCAACTAAGCGTTGCAGTTCTAGGATTTTGTTTGTTTAGGAGGTGCTGCTGGGACACGCCTGTAAATGTGAATAAAGAAAATGTCTAATAATCCAATTTATCTTAATTTCTTGAGAGCTTTGGTGAAATCAGTGTTACTGGGAACAGTACAATTAGGTCATTGAAAGAATTCCTACTTAGGAGGAGGTAACACTAACTGCATAGCTGAAGGAATTTCTTCTCCTCTGAGTAGAAGCGCTGTCTTACTTTGTTACACTAGGGGCTTTCTTGAAGTTTTCAAAGTTCCTTTAGCAAAACAGCAGAAATCTTGACAAGCAAGATAAAAGAGCAAGTACAGTCTCCAAAGCCGGCTTTCCTATTCTGAAGCGAGCTCAGTTTGGTCAGATGGTATCAAGTAGTTGGTGTTTTGAGGATACTCTGTGTATTGAAACGCTGCTGCTATCTTGTGTTTGAGTTCTGCGAACGAACTCGTTAGACATTTACTGCAGAGAGGACCTAGCCCACCTCATTTCCGTTTAGCTCGTCGACGTCAATTCAGTTTCGCCCTGTTGCCCCAGTGCGCCTCGTCCGTTGACGCGCACCCTCTTCTGCTGTTGCCCACCCTGAAGTTACGTTTCCTCACGAGCAGGGTAACTCGCACCATTCTGGCGCGTGAAGCTGCCCTCTCCCCACGCAGCACAGCCCGACGACGCTCGTCAGTCCGCCACGGAGGAGGCGGCGGGCTGGGACCACCAGCAGGCGGCCCTCCGGGCGGCGAGCACCGCACAGCGCACGGCTGCCCGCGCGGCGGCATTCGAACGTGCCCCCCTCCCGACACCCCCCGCGAGCGCGCTCCGCCCTCCCTCCCTTACTGGCTCCGTGCTAAGCACTGGCTACTTCCTATTGGCGCGGTAGCCTTTCTGTCCCGCCCCTGCTCCTGATTGGTGCTGGCAGCCCGGGCGGCCTAGCCGGGCTGCGGGGCGGCTTGTGCGCCCGTCGGCCGCCGCCTGAGGCGGGGGCTCGGGGCGCCGGCGGCGGGTAAGAGGAGCTGTGCGGGCTCCCGAGGAGGAGAGGGGGCACCGGCTGGCTGCCTGCCGCTGAGGGGGGAGC